TGTTTAGTTACTCAGTTTGTTTAAACTAAAATAAAGTTGGGTTTTTTTTCCTTCCTTCTCCCCCAGTTTTACTTAAATATATATGGGAATCATTTATCTACATTACAAGCAGCAAATCTGTATAGCAGAAACACACACAATGATACTGTAAGAATACAGTGATAGCAAATATGAAAGGGAATTATACATTATGGAACACGAGAACATTTTCTGTGCAGAAAAATACAGTAGAACTTGTATGAAATAGATCAAAAACTGACAAGAAACTATAAAAACAATGAAAAAGAGTAAAAAGGCATTACAAAAAAAGGATAAAAAGAAACATTTCACAAATATCTAAATTTATAGACAATATTGAACTTCTGTTCACGATGACTATTGCACTAATGGAACAGACAATGCCAGCTCTCTGGCATATAAACTATGAGCCTGGCTTCAGTCACACAGCTGACAGCAATATTGTTCCCAATTACAAGGTCATTTCTTTTAATGCTAGCTTGGGCATCTCTCAAGACAGACTTCAAACATATCCAATGGGGGTCAATTGCATCTGAACTCTGAATTTCAGCTCCTACTGATTTCATTTTAGATTCTCATGAAGAGTCTGGGTCAGGCCCCGTTTCAGAGGGCCTTCCAACTTGCCTCCTTTAGCATTAGATGAACTTTTAGGAAAGTTCAATTCATACGCAGATGTTAATCCTGGAAGATAGCGTTGTATGGTTTTATTCCTGGAGATTTTCAGCATGCATTCAGAAGCTAAGGAGTAGGTTTCACAGCCTACTCCTTGCACTACCTAAAATTTTGCATTATTTTACTAATGATCATTAGTCTCACTTCCACTGGCATTACGAGGTGCAGAAACATTTTAATTGTGATCTGTGCTTACCTGTAATTTGTTCATCTTCTAAGTCTTGCAGTATAAGCTTTTCAGCATCTTGATTGCTGCTCTTCATAAAGTTTAAATAGGAGAGAACTGATTCTGGTAAGCCATCTGAAATCTAGAAAAACATGACTTTTGACATAAATTCTACATTTTCATCTCACAGTTTTGACAGAGGTAAATAGTTGAAATGTAGTATATAGACTCCTTTTGGCTTCACCTATAAAGCATCAATGGACATTTAATAGCAATTGCCACCAAAATTTTTCCCAATTCCTACACTCTTTCTGTTACCACTCATTGAACAATTAATAATTCTAATTTTAATTACATTCTAATCAAATTTTAGTAACTTATCTTTCACTGACTTCAGAAACATGTTTCAGTTAACACTGTGTTTATAACTGTTGGACTAAGAAATTAAGGAAAAGGATGAGACAAAAATGAAAAAATAACTACCAAGCACGGGATCTTTTTCTTTAAAATGTTTAGATTCTTTAAAAAACAAATAAATTTTAAATTTACTAATGTTTAAAGTATGCATGTAAATCCAATGCTTCAACTTTCTTTACTGCATAGAAACCTTCTATTCAAAAGACTGTCTTTTGCTGCAAGAATTTGGTAAAATGGATTGCCCTCTCTCAAATGTGCAAATTGTTGCAAACACTGCTGACATTCAGTATGTGAATGCACAAACACTACTGATGCCTTTGTGAATCTTTATGTCATGTCAAGCATGATTTATGGTCACATATGACCAATATTATCTACCCTAATATCCTACAAACCAGTCCTTTTACTATGAGTCCAAAAGATAAAAATAGCTGAAAAGGATCCAAATAAATAATTGTATTTCAGAGGAAAATAATTCCCCAAAATAAGAAATTATTCAAAGTTATTATAAATCTATATAAATCTATATAAACATATATAAATATATATAATTATAAATAAGAAGATATTCAAAAAGAAGACCTGAAGCACCCATTTATATGAAAATAATATGTGGAAGTCCCATTAGGAATTTCATAAGACATTCTCCAATAAGATTTTAAATACAGATTTCAATGAGGAATCATTGGTTTATTCATCCAAATTTAATCAACCTCTATAGCTTCGATAAAATCTTCTAGCTCCAGAGGATTCTGGAACAAAATATCTGTGTCTGATTTTCTCACTTAAGCAGAATGCTGATATGCATCCCTCTTATTGTCCTGTCACCAATGGAGGTTCACTTTCCATGATGCAATACTACCGAGACTACTTTACAGAAGAAATCCTCAGGTTAGGCATGTCAGGAGTACGTTCATTCATCCGACAGAACTCCCAATGCCAGTACTACTTTCAAGTAGTAATAGAAGCAGTCGTAGCTCATTGAATACTTACTGTCTCACTGTCACTCAAAGGTTCATCTGATGCCTCTGTGTCAGGATCATCTACTTCAAAGGACGTAAGACTGATTCTGCCTAATTCAATTTCTATCTCTTTTTCAATTCCTTCAGTATCTTCTGACATTCTGCTTTCCACAGTGTCTTATCTGTTTTCAAAGCTACACAAAGAAAATAATACCTTTCAGCACAGCATGAACCAAATTAGTCTTCATTTAGCCTATGTTCATTCAGATGTATTTACTGAACAGTTGGCTTAAAACATGAACATCTTACTCCATAACAACAAGCAAAAATAAAAAAAAAAATGTTACCTTGTGATAAGAAAATCCCCCTGAGGCTACCGCTCAAAATTTTGCAAATGTTATGAAATTTCAATATGAAAAAACTCTGCCTGCTGTCTACTCTTTGTGGAAAGTATCAGTGCCATGACCTAAGGCTCACAAGGAATTTTTTCCAGCCCTAACAGTTACAAAGCAGAAAAAAGTTTTGAACAATAAATAAGTAATAACAATTACAAAATAAGACTAAGAATCCAAAAGCACTCAATGACGTTTTAATGACACAGAGAAAACAGTCAGAAATGTCACAACCCACAGAAGAACAAACTTGTGGATGGATCCAGATCGGAGGAAAACGGGTTTCCCTTCATCCCCACCTCCCTCCTTCCGCAACCAGTGCCCCTTTTCAACCCAGGGACATGAGAAGCAGCCTAGATCCGCCCCATCTGAGGCAGCGAGCAGCTCCTGGTCCCTCGCAGGCTCCTGCAACAGGAGACGGGACGCGCGGAGCGCATCTCAGCCGGGACGGCGTTCAGCGAATCCGGCGAGGGAAAACTACACCTCCCAAGAGGCATAGCGGCGGGAAAAAGCCCGGATTCTAGGAGGATCCGCCCCTTTGAATACTGGGAGTTGTAGTCCACCATTCCGAGCAACGGCCGCCCTCCGGTCCCCCTTGTTTATTCCACATACCAACTTACCTACCGTTCACCCGAACCTCTCCCGGAGCTCCCACCTTCCCGGCCGCCTCCGGAGGCCGGCCACCTTTCCACTCTGAAATCCCGCGGCCGCCAGCCGCTGCCGGTCAGGCGCTCCGTGCGGAGAACGAGAACCCACCGCTGCGCCGCCGGGAGCGTTACCACGGCAACGGGAAACAGCGTCTCGGACGGACAGCGGGAGGAGCCAAACCCCGCCAGGAGCTGCCGTTTCCTACTGGGGCGGCAGGCGGCGTGTCCCGGCGTGGCGAGGAGCAGCTCGCAGTATTTTATTTGGGTTTTTTGGTTTGATTTGATTTGAGGTTTTTTGTTTGTTTCTTTCTTTGGTTGCTTGTTTGTTTGTTTCTTTTGTTTGGTTTGGTTGGTTTGTGGGTTTGGTTTTGTTTTGTTTTTAAGTAATAGACTGGAATTTAGTCTTCGTGGTGGGAAAAAAAGGCAGACCAAAGACAAGTTAAAGGTGGATTAAACCACTATGGTTTTGCTTCCTGCTTGCCACGAGAACTCCAGAGCCATGAAAAATGAAAACTTGCCAGACATGCCTTCTGTCCTCACACACTGGGGCTCTGTCACGGCTCAGAAAGGCCAGTGTCGCACTGGCACTGGGCTCACTGGGGTGGTCAGCCCGGTGAGGCAGGAGGGGTGCCCATGGAATCACAGAATGGAAGGGACCTAAAAGATCACCTTGTCCCAACCCCACTGCCCTGGGCAGGGACACCTTCCTCTAGACCTAAGGGTTGCTTAGAGCCCCGTCCAACCTGGCCTTGAACACTTCCAAAGCTGGGGCATCCACAACCTCTCTGGCAACCTGTTCCAGTGCCTCACCACCCTCTGCATGAAGAATTCCTTCCTAGCATCTAATTTATATTACCTTGCTTTTAGTTTAAAATCATTCCCCCCTTGTCTGCCTGTGTAAAACGTTCCTTTCTCTTAAGAGCCTGGAGGCCATATCCAGACTTAAAGGAAATGTCCAGAATTAAAAACTCCACACAATTCAGTCTAGCAAAAGCAATACAGGGCAGGCAGGGTGCAGATAATAACATTTTAGTCTGTAATGGTGTTCACAGGGAAAGCATCTGACCCTGAGACTGATAAGGAATATCAAGATGCAAAGGCAGGTATAATGAAAAAATGTAAAGTCAGGTTTTGCATAGAAAGTGTGCATTTTGGGAGCAATGGGGAGGATCTGACAAGAATGGTGGGGGTTTTTCTATCTACCATCTTCAGAATAAAATTAATATCTTTCTGAAAGACTTATGGATGTTAAGCACAAAATACTGGATTCAAGGGCAACCCTTTACTGTTTCCTCACCAGTGTTATGGATGAGTAAGACATTTAAATATTAAAATAATGGAAAGTCACCCATTTGAAATCCACCACTTCCCAGAATCATGTAACTGGTGAACTTTTCAATCTGGTCAATTTTTTAAGCATTGATTTGAACGTGCATTTAGTACTTGTTTTGTGAAGGTGTTATGCTGTGACCATGGTGAATGAAGACCATGTCATGTATTTAGCAAATAACTTTACCAATAAAAGAGAGGTTTCTGTAGGCATGTTGCCTGTATCCAGGAAGTCAGGGCTAGCCAACAGAGGAAAACTTCTCTGTTGTAAGAGTGTGTTTACACTGGACTTCAGGAAGAAATGTATTACTATTAGACTGTGTTCTTTAAGGTAGGATGTAAATATTAAACCCTGATAAGGATTTTTCTCACGTAGAAACAATATTATAAAATGTAAGTAATTTTATAAAGATAATATTTCTAATTTTCAGATAAATAATACAAGGTAAACGGAATTATTTAAAATTACTCAAAGCTTTGAAACCACATAATTTTTACAACAGAACTATTGGAGATGCCAGTTTTCAAATGAAATATGTAACTGTCCATGTTTTATTCAGTTTTTGTTTACTAGAACAATAAATCACAGCAATTTTTTAATATATTCTGGTTTTGAAAATTTTCATGAAATTTTACTGCTCCTAAAAGTGGTGAGACTTCTTCAGGGAGAAAAGCCAGTTATCGCATACAATCCATAAGTTTACACGGTGTATTATTGACCCCATTATTGACTCCACTCCACTCCACTGTGGAGCAGGTTTGAGAAGCTTACTATAGCTTTATTCACTGTGCAATTCAGCAACAGAGGTTTCATAATCCAGACAGGCATTGAGGACCTTGACAGGGCAAGCAACACTTTTGTTTGCTCAATCTTTTCTTCTGAAAAAAAAAAAAAATTAATATATATGTAACATATGTTTTGTATCCAAAATAAGTTGTTAATGCAAGAGAGTTTTTGACTGCAGAAGCTTTGTATTTGTCATCTCTTCATGTCAGCTGGTATCCTTAGTAATTAGAAAGGGCATTGAAGACTATAAGCACAAATGTATGCCAATCTATGTAACTCTTGCCATGTAAATCTTCCAAAACACATGTTGCTTTCAAATGTTTTTTGCAGTTAAAATGAAAAAAAAGCTAAAAATATATAAATCCATATATGTATACAATGTAACATTAGGTGCAATTGAGACCAGACGCCATCTTGATGCTTCTACAGTTGCTACTACTTCTTGTTCAAAATATCAAATGACTGTTTAATTTTATACAACATTGTCTGAAGAAAATAAATACTATTGTAATCAATAGACTTAGTTATATTTGTTTCATATTGAATGTATGACTGTATTTTCAATTGTGATTCAAAAATGAAAACAGCAGAATTCAAATAATAGATAAAACACTAATACAGAAGTACTATCTAAGTGCCATCAGTGGAATTTTCTAGGTTAAAAAAAATCTGTTTTCTTTCTCTTATTTGGCAGCTTCAAAATATTCTTTAAGATGTTTTTAATTAAAGCAACAATCCTCCTTTTTTTTTTCTTTCCCAGGCTCTAGGTCTTATGCTTTTGACATTTGGCCTGTGGCTTTTATTCAACAGAAACAATTTATTCAGTGTGTTATGTGAGTATAAATGGAATTTTTCATTTGTTTTAAATAATTTGTTTTTAAAAAGTGCCCCATCCTTGTAAGTGTTCAAGTTCATGCTGGATGGGGCTTTGAGCAATCTTTCTAGTGGAAAGTATCTCTGCCCATGGGAAGGATGTTGAATCTAGGTGATCTCTAATGTCCCTTCCAACCCAAACCATTTTATTGTATGGTTCTCTGTAATCAACAGAAATAGTAATAGATTTCCATTTCCACAAGGTGGCAGTATTGGACTGAACTGCATAGTTGTAGGGTTTTTTTCTGTTGAGTATATTTTCCCTCATTAGACAGTATGATTTTCAAAATAGGAGAAAACATATATCGTTATATCTACAATTTATATATTCTTATAATTTATGCAATTTAATTATTTCTCCTGGTGGAAAGCTTGTAGATGAATCACTGAAAAATAAATCAGCTCTTTTTATCTTTTCTGCATTTGGCCTACATTTGGCAAGATTATAGATGCTTTTAAGTAAATATTTAGATGGAATGAATAAAAGTATAAGAACTTGGACCTCTCCATATGGACATTGCTTTTTCCGAGAGTGTCTATCAATTTTTTTCACAGAAAAGTAAGTTTTTAGTGACATAACAACAGCTGTGCTTTTAAAGGCTTGACTGCCTTGGCAATGTTGAGAAGCATCAGTGCAGTAATTATGGTACAAAACATTTGATCTGGAAGTAATAAAAACCCCAGCTACTTCCCATATCTATGGAAAAATGGTTGAATTGGAAAGGAGAAAGTGGCCAGTCACAAAGAGGCTGAATCTGAGCCTTAATTTGATGAGAACGATTTCTATATCCCCATAGAATTTGCATACGTGATAATAATTTCTGGAGAACCAAAAAAAATTTGTAAACTTGTAATTGTTTTCTGATTTCATTTTGAGGGGTTCACATTGTTCAACTGAGAATGTTCTGTTTGTATCTCGTATGTTGCTACCATCATCTGAATTTATGAAAATATATCTTTTTCTCTATGTGACTGTAGGTATAAATAATAATAATACTCTTCTGTCATTCTACTATTTCCACCCTCTCAGTAATGGCATTGAAAATATTTAAATATTTTTCTAGAATAAGTTTTGTAAGTGGAAGTCTCAGAAAAAAAAGAAAAAAGGAAAAACATAATAGTATAAATGCACTGTGTTACAGTTTCTTCGGGGAGAACCAGCTAGTGGCATATATTTCTTGTGTATTGCTTGACATTGGATCTGTTATTACTTTTACATCACCCATGGGATTCCTTGGAAGTACTGTGAAAATCAAATGTCTACTCATTACGCTAAGTGTAAATCAGTCTCCAACTTTCTTGTAAAATGAGAGGGAATTTTGCATGCATGAAAAATGTGATCCTGTCTTGATGTGACTTCCAGACAGAGCACTTAAAAATGTGCTGATAGAAAGACATATTTACAGAAAGTCCTGGCTCAAATGAAATCTCAACAAAATCGAGGATCTTTCCATATCCCTGCATGGAAGTTTTCAATGACAAAGGTTCAGTGTTCAGTATGTGCTGAAGAAATAAAGAAAATCCTGCTCCAGAATATTGCAGCTTGAAGGTACAGGTAGCTACAGTATGGCTACAATATTGAAACAGCAAACTATGATTAAAAATTTGTTACCTATGTAGACCTACTGGGAGACTCCATATTTATAAAGAATTCCTGCTTTTTAAGGGAAGAACACTTGGATTTCTGAAAGATTGCACTGTAACTATATATTCTTATATCACTTTGATTACATATTTTTCTTCTGTCTTTTGTTTCTTGTCATCCCTTTTGAATGATCTGTTTTAGGCTGCGAAGGGTGAAGCAATGAACAGTGTTACTGATTCATTTGTTAAGCACTACAATATTCATTAATACTCAATATTTTGTACAGCAAAGAGAGGACCTCAGGTGCAATAACCAGGAACCTTGTTCCTTCTTCCTTCCTAATACTGCCTAGGCATGTAGTGCTTGCCTCACAATTTATTACACAATGAAAGAAAAAACTGTCTCATTTCCAACATCCATGAAACTATCTAGTATCACAGTATCTAGATACTGTAGGTGAAAATTTATTATCACTGAAAATGAGCAAAATCAACCATCTTTTTATTTTGATTTGGTGCCTTATAGCTCAAAGGAGTCCTTAAATAGGTATGAGATTTAGATACCATTATA